GTCAAGAAGCCATTAACGGTGTTTGTTAGATTTGACGGAAGTTAGTTTTCCGTCCAATTGGGACTTTATTTGAGAATTTCGTGGAGTTTGGGACCTTAATTGAGTGCAATTGAAGTTTGGGTCCAACATTGCGAATTTTGTATAAGTTTGGGTCCTTATATCATATTTGTGCCAATTATATATTTCAAAAGTAAGGTGTAGTCGTAGACTAAAAGCAGGTGCATTGAAATCTTAAATTTCATTTTCCATTATCACTGCTTAGTAATCAGACTATCAACAACTCCACCCCCAATTTGTAACCCCGTTAAAAAAATATATATCAGATTATCAACAAGCAGCATCAGCAACATATATTGGCACGTGACTAATAGTGCATAATTATTGATTTCTATCAAAATGTTAACTACGAATAACGCGCACTTGGCCCTTGAGTACTAGTGGCAATAGTCACCCTGATGCATTTCCCTTTTTTCTGGGTTGGGTTCGAAATTCGCTCCTTGCAAATATGTTCAAAAAAAAAAAACTACAAATAACGTAAATAGTTTAATTGTCATTTCTTTTTATTAAAAGTAAGAAGTTTTGAATTCGAATTATATGGCATGTGAGTAGAATAAAATAAGAGATAAGAGATAATTATCTCTCATTGTACAATTAAGATAAAAAACACACACACACACACCACAACAACAACAACAATAACGACAAGTATTGTAAATATATGTTACCGAATTAAATTTCACTGCCATAATGTGCCTAGCTAAATTTTCCGGCAGTAAGAGAATTTAACAAGGTAATACACATTAGTGAATTAAAAATAAAAATCATGAATTTCTAGATAAGGTTCAATTTTATGTTTGTGCTTTATAAAATGTTTGATTTGAGAAAGGAGATGAATTTTTTAACCGATTAAAAAACTCATTCTTCCCCATGTTTCTGTCAAATTAACCAAACATACCATCATAGTTGAATTATTAATTTAATTGCCCCCTAGTTAGTTTTTTTTTGGTGTAAATGGTTAAGATACATATAAGTCAAAATTAATTTTTTTTTTTGTTAAATAATTCAAAAAAACAGACCTTCTAAATCAAAGTAGTACATTCAAAGTTAAATTAAATTTCAATTTAAGAGGCAAAAACAAAGGTAATATTGCAGCATAAGAGCTTCTCAAATTTTTAATTCCTAATGGCACAAGGCATCAGTCACTCTCTTATTGTAGGTGAAGAAAAGTAGTTGATTCACACACAATATTTTCTTACCTAAATCATGTGACATTAAATGAATAAATGTATATTAATTTAAATAAAAATTATATAATTAT